ATAAAAAGGGACAAAGGCCAAATTAATTAGACCAAATCATAACGAGGGAGGTCTACCAGTCCAAATTCGCACGTGGTCAAAAACTCTCATTTTTCCATCATTCCTGACAATCTCAACGTTGACTACCATAATATTGACACCGTCCAATTTATTTTGTCCCGAAACTCCCGGAAATCGACTGCCAAGTTCGGGATCCAAATAACGGCCAAATTTGATCGAGTGCGATTCTAGCGAAATCTCTAATTTAAAATGATAACCGGGAGTGATCAGTTCCCGGGCGAGATTTTACTATAAGCACACTGACAAATTACGCGTTTTATAAATCCCAAAAATGGGCCGAAATTCGGGATGTCACAAAGAATGTATCATTTTTACAATACAACAATACTAAACAATTGTACATATTCGAGAAGAAAAGCACACACAAAATCAGAAAGTTGAGAGAATCACTAGAAACTTGACATTCATTATTTCGCATTTTCACACACTATCCCACGTTACGTATGAGACCTGGTATTACTTTTGGAGAAAGAATCTGTTCAAACTTTCATAAATGTTGACAAAAGAGATTGAATTGTCGATACTCTCGAAGAATAAAAAAAGTATATAACACAATAATTATTACATACAATATGACCTGGTATGCTCGATGCAAGACATGCGTGATAGATTATCTCCCCTTTCTCTCTCCTCTTAGGCAATGTGTCCTTGTCAACTAAAAGTTGATTACAATACTATGTATAAGAATAATTAATCTCCAATTTTCTGGAAGTTCTTTAAGGAGGTCTTCTTTCTCCCCCTCTTTGAAATTAAGGAAGTAGCATAAGAAAATTAGGCCAACAGTCCTAATCTTTGCAGATCCTAATCCTTTAAAGAATTTAGCGGAATAAATCAATGTAGACGAAGAAGATTAGTCATTCAGGTTGTCGGGTCTCCACCGATAAACTAGATTAGTTTACTAGGAACACAAAGTTCCCATAATCCAATGGCTTGACTTTTTTAGATTGTAAATTTTCAAAATGGCAAGATATTGCGTGAAAGAGGAGCTAGAACTATAAGCTAGGTAAATTCCCACATTGTTCAAACATGGGAATATTAATTTTTTTGTAAAGTTAAAAGGATAGGAAAAGACGATCAGTACAGTAACCCCTTTAGGTAAATTCCCACGTCGTAACTATGTGATGCAACTGAGCCATTTGGAGGTTTTCTCATGACGTGCATCAAACTTTTGACCTCCTAGAAATATATCCGATTTACCACTATGCCAACACTTTGGTAGTTGAGCACGGGTTGGTTATTGCAGGCTTTGTACCCTTTTTTTTTTTTGCTAAATTTGCAGGCTTTGTACCTACATGCAGTTTAAGAATGTTCCATTTTCGTCCTTGTACATGCAGTTATTTTTCAACGAATACGTAATATTTTCATGGCATTTGTATAAGAAATCTTATGAAAATGTCAATTTGGGACAAATTATTGATTTGTCATTCTTACGTTTACATGTGTGCACAATCTAAATTACGACCCCATTAAGATTAATTCCATCATACGCAAATAATTCCACATTTACATTTGTCAGTATAAATCCACATAGAAGTATCTCGGGCTACTTTAAAAGAAAAATATCATTTTTAACGATTAAATATAACTTTAACTCGCTATTATATAGCTAAAATATTTTCAGAAAAGTGATAAGAGACCTTCACATTTTAGTCTTACTACCAGCAACTCAACATCATAATGACCGTAAAAACTTGCATACGATGGCACTTCTCTTAATAAGACTTTCAATCATATTGGGAAAACTTGTACAATTTAGAAATTTCCAATTAAAAATTGGATTTAATTTGACATTCTCTTAAGACTTTTGATTAAGATGTGAAGTTAAGTATAACTGGAACAAAGTACAAGGACCAAAATTTTTAATATTCCTAAAACTACGCGGATCAAAAGTGTAACTTTTTAAAAAATTTGTACATATAGGGGCCAATGTCGATTTGCCAATGTTGACTTAGCATATTTCGTCCACGTTTTGGCGGAATATTGATATTATATCCCGAAACTATTGCCGGAGATTATTTGGGGGACTACATTATAACGAAGTATAGTAAATGGACCAAAACTGAATTTGTCTAATAGTATGGGGACAATTCTTGTAAATTTACTAAGGTTTACTAGATTTTGCAATCATCACTTTACGTGCATGGGCAGACTAGAATAATTAGGCTTTGTGAGAACATAGGACTGACTGGTTACAATCTACCGACCACGCTCCAGATTTAGGAACTCTATTATACATCGAAAAAGTTCGATTCTTTGATTTGTGGTATGAACAGAAGACCAACCAATTCACTGATGGCGTGCATAACGAACTCTATTATCATCTAATGCAGGGACGAAGCCAGAATATCGAGTCAATGGGGTCAATCATCTAGAAGCACTATGTCATGAAGTTCTCAATTTAGAACAAAGAAAGTGTTAGAATATAAATATTAAACCACACCTTCATCTAATAGCTTAAGCTTTTAGAACAGTTGGCTGTGGTCTCACATAATATAACGTAGTATCAAAATAGAAGGTCATGAGTTCAAATCTTTCCAAGCCTCATTTGTCATCTCCCCAATTAAATATATCCACGCTTAGTACTAGTCAAAAAGACCAGACTAAGCGTGAGGGGGAGTGTCAGAGTAATTAAATATTAAACAACGCATTCATCTAACAGCTTAGGCTTTTAGAATAATTGGCAATGGTCCAATAAAATCTCACATGGTATCAGAGCTAAAGGTCCTGAGTTCGAATCTTTCTAGGCCCCATTTGCTTTGTTTCCCCAGTTAAATATGTCCACACTTAGTACTAGGCAAAAAGACCAAACTAAGCGTCAGGCGGAGTGTTAGAATATAAATATTAAACCAGACCTTCATCTAACAGTTTAAGTTTTTAGAACTGTTGACAGTGGTCCCACAAAATCATAGAAAGAAAATAAACTTTAGTATTTTTGGTTGATTTAAGTTCAAGGAAAGGTCCATGGAGTGATCAAACTACTTATAACATTCATTAGAACACAAACCTTAGTATTAGTGCTCAATCTCATCAATCGGTTAGATAGCTAGAATTAAACAAAAAGAATCACCACAAGGTTGGGGGACCGTCAAAATAAGTTTGAGTAACTCCTCTAAGTAGCTCAAAATTCTTATATAGGCAAGCGCAACGTACTTCAAATTCGAAATGTCTTAGAAACAATTGCACTAGCATCGCATAAGTACATGCACGGTCCAAGTGCTCGGAAAGGACTTTCGATTTGAATTTATCATAAATGTAATCAAGCCTTTCATAGAGAAGAAAATGAGACAATGTTTCCGATAATATTGAGTTTCATCTAAAACTAATAACGTACCCAAGTGAAGTTCATGTGAGTAAACTTGCATATACGCACACACTTTTATTATGAATAAACTGAGTATAGCCGTCTTGACCGGAGAACATGGCAGATAAGACAATGATGCAACTCATAGAGAATTCCTATGAAATCTGAAGCTATGCATAAAAAGGTAAATAAATCTGGTCATTTAAGGAAAGGAAAAATTTCAATTAAGGACCCCAAGTGGGGTCAAATTCTCAAAAGAGGGCCCAAAGTGAACATAGTGTCAAATAAGGGCCTGAAGTGCCCAATCAGTCTCAAATAAGGACCCGAAGTGCTCAAAAAGTCTCAAATAAGGGCCTGGGTCGCCGGCCGGCCAAAATACCCGTCGGCCGGCGAGAATGTTACTATTCCGGCACCGGAACAGTAAAATTTTTATTTTTTTTTTATTTTTTCCTTTCTGTTTTTCCTTTTCTGTTTTTTTTCTTTTCCTTTTCCTTTTCTTTTTTTTTTCTTCTCTTCCTCCGCCGGCCATAGCCGGGGCCGGCGGAGGTCGCCGGCCTCAGGCGAGGCCGCCCTCGTCGGCGTCGGGCGAGGGCCGTCCTCGCCTGGGCTGGGCGAGGTCGGCCTCGCCAGTTGCCGGCGAGGTCGAGCCTCGCCAGATCTGGCAAGGGCTCGGCCCCGTCGGCCGCCGGGCGAGGACCGCCCTCGCCCAGCCCAAGTGAGGGCCGCCCTCGCCCAGCGCCGGCGAGGGCTCGGCCCCGCCGGCCGCCTGGCGAGGCTCGACCTCGCCGGCGTCGGCGAGGTCGGCCTTGCCGGTTGCGAGGCGAGACCGGCCTCGCTCGGACGCCGGCGAGGTCGAGCCTCACCCAGATCTGGCGAGGCTCGACCTCGCCGGCATTGGGCGAGGCCGGCCTTGCCGTTGCAGACGAGACCGGCCTCGCCCGAGGCCGGCAAGGTCGAGCCTCACCAGCGGGCCTGGGGCCGAGTCCTCGCCCGGATCTGGCGAGGCCGACCTCGCCCAAAGATAGGCGAGGGCGGCCCTCGCCCCGACGCCGGGCGAGGCGGCCCTCGCCCGGACGCCGACGAGGCGGCCTCGCCCGGAGGCCGACGACCTCTGCCGGCCCCGGCTATGGCCGGCGGAGGAAGAGAAGAAAAAAAAAAGAAAAGGAAAAGAAAAAAAACAGAAAAGGAAAAAATAATAAAAAAATAAAAAAGTTACTATTCCGGTGCCGGAATAGTAACATTCTTGCCGGCCGGCGGGTATTTTGGCCGGCCGGCGACCCAGGCCCTTATTTGAGACTTTTTGAGCACTTCGGGGCCTTATTTGAGACTGATTGGGCACTTCAGGCCCTTATTTGATACTATGTTCACTTTGGGCCCTCTTTTGAGAATTTGACCCCACTTGAAGTCCTTAATTGAAATTTTCCCTTTAAGGAAACAACAAGTGGACACAAACATTTGCTATAAAACAGCCCAAAATTAGAAAAGAACCCTTGAAGCCCAATGATGGATTTTGAGGCTGAAAACGGGCTCGAATTAGCTTAGGTGGAGAGCTCTGAATTGATATTATGGATCGAATAACCCAGCCCATAGATTAACAAATGCATCCATTCTATTTCAAGACAGAAGAACTCCTGATATATTCAATCTTGTGCCTTCATACTCTGCAGACGAAAAGAGGAAGCAACTGGAACAAAACATTAGAAACTACAAGGAAGTACAAATTAGGGGGCACATGTCAATTGCATTCTACATTACCTTTACAATTCACAGGCATATAAAAACAATTCCCTAATTATAAACTTCAGAGTAATGCTTCGCGAGCGCTTTCCTCTTCCGGGAAGCATGGTGTAGCTTGATCTTCTTCTTCTTCTTCTTGCCTGAAATTTTCCCATCAGAACCAAGAGGCACAACACCTTCGAAGTTCAGCCCATGATGTTTGCTCTTCTTACCCCACGTTTTGTATCGAACCCGAGTTGCTAGACTCACCTTCAACTTGGCCGTCGCGTTCGCCACCGCACGACCAACGTCACTCCAGATCCGCAAATCCTTTGCCGCCGCGTCGTGTCTCACACGAAGAGTGTTGTCCTTCCCTTGGAAGAACGAAGTTATCACGTCGTCGGCAATCGCATCTTGCCCGAAAAAGAACGACATGAGGATGTCGTCGTAGTAGACTCCGGAGTCCTTATTCGGATTCTGAATGTCGAGCTCGTAGGTCAACGAAGTCGAGCCGTTCTGAATGTTGTTCGAGGTCGGAACGGAGAGGTTCACCACCGTGAAGGAAGGGTGATTGGGACGTAGACTCAGCCATATGCAAAATGCGAGGATGGCCAAGAGAGAGAAGATTTGAAGCAGCCATACATAGAAGCTCCTTGCGTCAGAAGTGCAGATTTCTTGGGTAAAATCAGAGAAAGGCCATGCCATTTTTGGTTGAGGAAGACGATTATGTTACTGAGAGTAATAGATCTGTGAGAGAAAAAAGGAGGTGAACAGGATGAAGTGCCAGCATAATATTTCTGTGGAATCTCATTGTATGCCTAAGGTATAAGCCAAGTTCATAGAGATTAAAGTATTAGTGGAACATATGCTTTTCTTCTCAAGGATGATGATGCTTTTCCTCTTTAGGAGCTTGTTGGGTCAGCATGATAGAGTTTTTTTTTTTTCCTTCAAAGTTAGCACATCATAAATATGATGGGCTAATTCCAAAAAAAAAAAAATTTACCTTGAGTGACAATTTTGGCTCAATTTTTTTTTGTCTCAATAAAAATTACTAACTTTTACTCAAATCACAAATATGATCCCATTAACCAAAGTTTGAGATCTTGTAGATTCTTACAAGCACTTTGGCAAGGCACAGGTTTAGAATTTCTTTCACTATATTTCCCAACAAAATCCATTTATTAATGTCCATCACTAGAACCCGATATATTAAATGAGATCAATTGAATGTCAATTCGACGTAGACTTCAAAGTTTTAAGGGGAGGGCTTGGGCTTATTTTAGAAAAAAGGTTCTGCTCGTGAGCTTGGCAAATCTTGTCTATGGTGTCTCTCAACAGGTGGTGGTCCACAATTTCATATTACGACAAAACGGTGGAGGCTGATCGAAGAGATTCAATCTTGAGATCTCTTTGACTTGCTGGTGAAGTAAAATAGACCTTAAACAACTTCACCGTTATTTTTCAAACTGTGGCTTAGAAAAAAAGATAATGAATAGTGCTTAAAATCTAGCTTGTAAATGACGTGGATTTATTACTGAGGTAAAATAGTCATGTTAGACAATTAACGATTCCAAGTCAACGGGACCAGATTTGGGAATTAAGTGAAAGTTGGTAATTTTTATAAAACAAAAAAAGTTCGGATCAGAATTGTCAGTCAAGCTAAAGTTGATGCTTTTTTTTTTAATTAGGCCTAAATATGATGCCACATTGCAACTTTCCAGAATGGATTATGTAAAGGATTTATCAAGTTCACTGTCAATGTAAAAAATTCTTCACATATTCACGGTTGAATGGTGAACATATGAAAATGATTTGATTGAAAAACTAACCCCGAATACACATGTCGCTCATTCAACGTTGAATTTTTACACAGATAGTGGATCTAACAATAATTTTTATATAAAAGTCATAGCACTTTTAGCTTGCAATTAAGAGAGTTCACCACATGAATTTTAAGTCTTGAGGTTGCAAATCATTCGATTATTACTCATACCTTACATTATAACTTTGTAAGCACTTTTTCTTCGAGCATCTACAAGCTTACAAGAAGAGCTCAACTATGTTGTGCTGTTCTCTAATGTTGTTTGCCACTTAATCTTTCTTTTCCTAATTTTCCTAACTTTTTCTCTTTTCACCACCTTCGCGGTGGAAGTGATGAATTCCATAACTATGCGATCATCCCCCGGCTGATTTTATAATTTATCTTTCAAAGGACGATTATACTATTATGTTTTGAAAACATGGATTTTTTCTTCGTGCCGGTAGAATTCTGAAAGAATTTTGTATGTATCAAAAGAACTCTTCCTAAGAAAAGTTGCTTGTCCCTTGATTTCCAGATAATTTGTTGGTAATTACAACAAATTATACACTTCTATTATTTTATTTTTTTGATAACCGAGGTGTCCGCGCGGCCGGCGAGCTAGAGCTCAAACCAGCGGTGATGCCCAACTAGTCCTCGAGGGGGGCTAGCGCAGTATACACTTCTATTATTTGTATTAACTTTTGTTTGTTTTTCTTACCAACGTTTTAAATTTATCAACTGGTGTATCAATTTATTAATCTTTATTTAAGTGGCTTACCAGTTTTTTTTATTGAATTATTAACTAATTTTATGTTTTTAATTCTCATTTTAATTACTCACAGACTTATTTTTGTCTTTTTTTTTTATCAAATTTTCTTATTATTTACTGACTTTTATTTGTTTCCCTTGGCACTTAAATTCATCAACTCTATTACTAATTTGGGTTAATACAACCAAAAAACCCAAACTAATAAATTCATGCCACATTTACCCCAAGTTAATTTTCTTGTCACAAAAAATCTCAAATTAATACTCATGTGCCACATTTATCCCAAACCTAATTCGTGTCATAAAAAATCTCAAATTGGTACACTCATGACAAATTTACCTTCCAGTACCTTCTGTCCAATATCCTCGTTGCAAACTACAACAACAAATGTTGATAAATTTATGAAAGTGTCATAAGTTACCAACTAATTACTTGAAAATGAAGTAACGGTCATTTTTTTACCATCAGTTTTTTTGGCATTTACCAACATTTATTGAAATTTCTCAGCACGAAAAAATCTGATTATTTTGGCACCAAACAATTGAGTCTTGCTCTTACTAAAGATAATATGTCCAAATCTGATACTTGGAATAAGATGTCACCTTTTAGGTTGAGAAATACTTATGTGATTCTCCTTAATCTTCTGTGAGAATAACAGTCTGTTTTGAGCCATAAAAAATAACTAAAAAATAATTAAAAATTCTTATGGCATCCATTCTTTCAAGAATTTGTAGCTCACGACATGTTGTTATTCTAACAGTAGCCCAAAACCTATTATGCTAGCAAAACCCCATTAAGTTTTACCATTATATAACAATGGATACTATATGAGATGCATACATCTGCAAGACATTTGTGACCAAAATCTAATGCATATCATCGTACTTCCTACAATACCAAAATAATTTTTCTCGACAGATCAGTAACATTGTCCTATTAAATAGTTACAAGACAAATTCCTTCACAGATTCACGAAAAGAAATAATACACAAATTGTACTTATACTTCTTAATCAGAAAAACTAAATTACAAAGTTACTAATGAATTATCAACTGAGGCAGGAAATCCAATCATCACTTCGGAAAAAAGGCTAACAAGAACCAAATCAAGTAAAATAAACCGGACATCTCTTGTCCTTGGAAATAGGCAAGATGGACCCATCCGCGCCCACAGCGACCGGACAGCTGGCGTGCATCCGATGGGTCTTGCTCGTCCACGTCGATACCTTGAATCGGATGGCCGACGTTAGGTCCAGCCGGAACGTCACGCTGCCCGCCGCACGATCGCTCAAGAACTCCATCCAGTGCTGACTGGTCACGGTCAACGTGGCCCCACTCAACACGTCGGCAACGGTCGTCGTGGTCTTGGGCTCCTGATCCAGCGTAGCCAGCAACGACTTCGACCCGATCTTTTGATCCCTGTAGAAAACCGACCCGTCCATCGCGTCGTAGTAGATCGCGATGTGCTGGTTCGAGTTCCGGAGCGTGACGTTGAACGCTATCTGCGCGTTCTCGAACCCGTTCTCCTGGCTCAGGCCCGGGACCGAGAAGTCGTGGATGTGGAACCGGGGCCGGTGCGGGCGGAGGCTCAGCCACAGGATGAACGTGATGATGCCTAAGATGAGGAGGAGGCTCAAGAAGATGGAGCATACGAGCTTGGAGACCCGGGTGGCGAGGCTCTCCTTGACGCGGTGCACGTAGTAGCGCGTCGTGTGGTGGCGCTTCATGGGCTTTGTTGGTGTGGTGGCGGAGTGAATCGGTACCCGGGTAGGGCTCCACATTGTCTCCTTTTGTTTCTTTCTTTCGTCGCCTGAGGTAGAGAGAGCAGCGATCGAAAAATTAAAGGCCAGTGAGACGAGGCGGCGATCGGAGTTGAGTGTTGATGAATGTGTAGCGAATGGTGGAAGAGAATTTATGGAGGGGTTTTTGATAGGAGAAAGAAAGGAATAAGAGTACGGTATCAAATGTTGAGCATGTTATCTACGACACAAAGGATCGATACTGTAGTTGTGTAGGTGAGCAAGCAAGGCAGATACTACTTCTGAGCTTTGTGCTGTACACTTTATCGTTGTCTGCAGCAACCAATAATAAACAAAAGGGTGCATTTACCATTACGATTCGAACCAGCCATGGGCACATAAACCTTTATCCTTTTTCACGTGAGTTGATACCTATGTTCTACTTTATGGCCATGTCTAAGTCACACACACACGCGCACACGCACACACACACACACACACACACACGCACATATATATATATATATATATATATATATATATGAGAATTTCTAATTTGCTTGTATTACTCATCATATGGTGCAAAATAAACATACAAAATAATGCTTAACATAGAAGATAAGTGAAAATATATCAATTATATCCAACTGATTATAAGAGTGAAACCAAAAATTATGCTAGCTTAATCAAGTATAAGAAATAAACCAAATATTATACTAACTAAAAAGCAAAAAGCAAATCTTTAGTAAATCTTCAGTAAATCTTCCCGTCAATTTGGCGCATGAAGGTCACAAATACCCGGCTTGCTTGGAAAAAATGTCAGCTAGTTGAAGATAAGCGGGTACCAATGCCCCAAGCTGTACATGTTCTCGAAAAAAGTGGCAATTAATCTTGATATGCTTTGTTCGTTAGTGAAATAATAAACATCTTGACAAACCAATTATTTCACTCAAAGCATATCAAGATTTAATTTGAACCAGAGCTACTCCTTCGATATCAGAGAGCTCATCTAACGGCTTCCCAATGCTACTCCTTCGATTCCTGCATGAACTGGGACAGTATGTGGACCGAATCATATAATTCAGGACAAGTAATGATGAGATAAAGTAAACATCCTTTAATCAACGATAACGACTTGGGTCTCCCAAGGCAGGTCCAATGGTTGTAGCTAATTGGCGTGGTAGCTCCATCGGGGAAGTAGCCAGTTTAGCTACCAGCATGCCACATTCGGATAAGATATCAAGAACATATTTCCTTGGCACAACCCTAAAGTCGTTTGCGTCACTTCAATTTTTAAAAATACTTCAATTTTCCGAGGTCCTTGATATGAAAACACTCATCAATGTACCATCTGAGCCATGCACACTATTATGAATTATTGCCTGCCAAGATGAGATTGCTAAACTACACTAACACGGTAAAAAAGTATTGCCATGAGAATAGGTGAACTACGAGTAATCGGCTAATGATTGATCAAAACCATATCCTCTCTATGCATCAGAAAATTTTGAAAACCGGTTTCAAGATACCTGTCAAAGACCATATAAGGACTTCCATAGAAGATATACACTATTTCAACTCGTCGTGAAACTTAATGGAAACTTGTATAAACTTCCTCATTCAAATTGCCGTGTATAAATGCATTGTTGAATTTAATGCAACTGCCAATTACGATCCTATATAACGACAAGAAGCCACTGTAGAGTGACTAGTTCAGCCACTGGCATGAAGGTTTTATGGAAGTCAAGCCCTCTACTTGAATGAATTTCTTCTTGACAAAATGAGCTTTACATCACTCAATACGAAAAATCGGCTTGACACTTTGTGAACCTACCTATATCCTGTGGTTTCTTACCCTCCAACAAAGTGGCTAGAGTCCAAGTCCAAATTATCTTTGTGTGCGTTATTTTTGCCGTCGTCACTTCTCTCCACAAAGGATCTGTAATTGCCTCTCTGTAATTCTTGGGCTCTGTATCAGAATCAACAACAGCTAAAAAAGCATTGTGAGGCTCAGTAAATTGTTCATAAATATAAATTTCTCGATTGGAAAGGTCGTAGCTGAAGAAATCAACAAAGTGAACTGAGAAGTTGGAGTCTTCAGTTGGACTGTATGGCAGACATAATCTCATAGATGAGCTGATTGCCATCTCTGTCGTGGAGGGTGAGTTGGGACTAAAATTCGGTGATTGGACTGCATAACGGGAAGCTCTCTCTACTGCTCACTGGTCTGCTCGCCAAGCTGTCACAACCTTGCCCCATTGTTTGCCCTTTTTCTTCATGAACTGGGCTTGGCATGATTCCTTCCTCCACCGAAGTTAATTTGGCCCATCATCAAAGGGCCCCAACTCGCGAATTGGTGTAAAAAGAGGAAGAGAGGTTTGGTCATCATGCACAGGTTGCCGAGAAAATGAGAAATAATAATAATTCTTCAGTTTCCACATCAAAAATTTTCCAACCCTTCGCGCGGTTTGGATATCCCGAAAATATACATTTTCTTGTCCTTTCTTGAAATTTCTCACTACCCTTTGACAGTTTGTGAGCATAGCACAATGCACTAAAAACTCACAAAATGAATATACCGGAGGTTTCCCAAACAAAAGCTTGAAAGGCGTTTTCCAGATAATATTGGAGTCGGAGTATAATTGATGAAATAAGCAACCGTCAATATGCATTCTCCCCAAACCGAATTGGTAAATTTTCTTGAAAACGAAGTGCCCATGCTACATTGAGAATGTGTCGGTGTTTTCTTTCAATCCGCCCTTTTTGTTGTAGCGTATAGGTGCATGAGATCTTATGCATGACTCCACTTTTTGGGAAAAAAAAATCCTTCGTGGAATTAAAAACAAATTCAGGCCATTATCACTCCGGACCATTTTAATTACCTGACCAAATTGGATACGATAGAAATTGATAAAGATTTTTGTATGTCTTTTATTTTTCCTTCATCTAAAACACCTAAATTGCTTGACCATAAACATCAACGATAGCTAAAGAAAAATGTTCACCCAAGAGATTCCATATTTGAACGCCCCTAAACATCAGAATGCTAAAAATAAATAATTCCACCGACTTTGTCATTACTTAAAGGAAATTAGGTACATTGTTGTTGCACCACAACATACAAAACAAATCAGGCCCTTTTCTTATTCATCTCAACATCGGTGAATGAGTGCCCATGCGTCCAATATAATAAACCCCTTTCTTGAAGATTACCCACTCCAATTGATCTGTTCGAGGCTAGGTCCTCATGACAATTGAGAAGAAACGAATGATACTAAGCATTGAAAATTCAAACTCAATTTTTTAGAGAAATAAGATTTCACTTAAAATTTGGAACATATAGCACATAGCGCAAAACAAAATCGAGACCAAAATAAGCGTTGCCTTTTTTATGGCGTGAGTCACATTTCCATCAAGAGCTCATATAGGATATGCATCCGTGATGTTTCACCATTGATTTAGAAGCAAGAGCCACCATGTCATATATTTAGTGGCATCACTATCAATAATCCAATCTGTGGAAAGATCATTGGGCCAATAGACCTCATCTAAGAGTCCATCATTCGAAGGGGTGGTTTCATCGCCGCAGACTGACCAAATACTAATATTGATCGCTGCTCATTGTTTTCGTTGTCCCAATCCCTGCAGACATCCCGGATTGCTATCACATTAATTTTGGGCTATGACAGTGCAAGAACTACCACTGCTAGTTAGTGCTGAGTGTACAGCCTCTGTGGGAGCATTCCACCTTTCCGCCTTGCCTCAGTATCCCAATTCGGAGGATATCCAATCAACTCTCGCTAATCACTCTTCTATTGCCCGACCTTCCCACAATAGTCACGTTTGGGTTTCTTGAACGGTGCCTTCCTAGGGCCTGCTCTTCCAGTCCAGAAACCAGCACTCTTGATCTTCTCTTCCCTCCCCCGGGGCAATTGATTGTTGGTATTCCTCTTGCGTGATCATAGACTTAACATTATCGAGGGATGGCAGTAGCTCAATGTTGAGAGTTTGAGAATGAACATAAGTCTTAGTGTTTAGGCCCATATGAAACTAGTGGATCTTGTCCACCTCATTCTTCTTCGCATACTTCATGGCTACAACAGAGGTACATGGACGACATCATAGTCATCAAGGTCATCCCCTAAGACCTCCCTTGTAATATATATCTCACTTAATCATCTTTGTGACTGATTATTTGCTGATCTCGAACAATTAATGTTTTAGGTCAAGCACTAGTGATCTTGGAACCACCCAACAATGGTAATTGTGGAGAGAGAGAGAGAGAGAGAGAGAGAGAGAGAGAGAGAGAGAGAGAGAGAGAGAGAGAGATTTTCTTTTCCTAGTTTGCACGATCACTAACTACATGTACGTGTGACAAAAACCGAGTGAAGACACGATGTTAATCTAGATGGTTAGAGGTGTAAGACTATGTAGAACCGCCGTTAACTGTTCTAAAAGCTTAAGCTGTTAGATGAAAGTGTGATTTAATATTTAAATATTCTATCACTCCCCTTCACGTTTAGTCTGGTATTTTTTGCTAGTACTAAGCGTGGACATACTTAATTAGGGAGGCAAATGGAACCTAAAAAAGATTCGAACTCAGGACCTCTAGCTCTGATATCATGTGAGATTATGTGGGACCACCGCCAACCGTTCTAAAAGCTTAAGCTGTTAGATTAAAGCGTGATTTAATATTTAAATATTCTATCACGAAGGCCACCTAACTTCATGCTTATTAAGAGAAACAACTTAAAGTGTTTCGATAAAATCTTATGTCAGTCTTCCATAAAAATATAGACCTGAAACTCTCGAGGACGACGACACAGAGAGGAAGGGGGGTGTCGGATGCAAAAGAAGAGAGAAAGAGAGGCGAACCTGTGGTAGGAAGGAGAGAGAGCAACAGATTCGAGAGAGGAGAAGCGAAGATGAGAATAGTGACACGTCAGGAGTCAATGGTTGGCAATGGTCTCGCACACGGCGGCTCCCACGTTGATGGCGGCATAGTGGCTTCTCAAAAGAACATAGTGGTCGAGAGTGGTAGTGGGTGAAGGTGAGGATGCCCTCTTTCAAGTTCAATTGTTACACATGATTGGCTGGCCCAACTCGATTTTGTGAGTTTGACCCATTGTCCAAGAGAGGCAACACAAGCTAGCGAATTGGGTGGCTAAGGCACAACGAAAAAAACGTACTCCCCCCGATTGGTTGTATTATCCTCCGAAACCTATGTTGGATATTCCCCCCTCCCCCAATAGGCTGTATTATCCCCGAAACCTATGTTGGATATTTTAGTGTTTGATGTAAATAAATTTTCGTAGAGTTAAAGAAATCTCCAATATTATTGACCAAAAAAAAAAAATTTGTTAGACACTATGGCTTTTTTATGGTGGAGCCAACATAAGGCCTATCCAACTTCTTTTGTCAAAGAAAGATACATGTAGCCTTCACTGCCAGTGGCCAGCAACCTCTGCCAACCATCGCTGATGCCCAGCAACCAGCGAAGGGGAGGAAACAAGAAAAAAGGAAAAAAAATCAGAAAATACATAAAAAATGGAAAATCGTCCACGTCAACACTAGTCGTGACATGTAGGACAGCCGTTGCTGACTGGATCGCCACATAAACGATTTCCTATCAAAATTAACCAGAAGAACTACATTGGCAAATCGTCAAAAGGTTTATGACTATGATGACAAATCGTTTAGGACTAAATTAGCCAAATTGAAAAGTATAAAATTTAATTGGCCGCCATACAATAAATTTAAAACTTTTTAGATAATTTTCCTTATCTATCTAGAAAGAGAAAGCAATAATCATCACGATGATAGTAAACCAAGATCAAGATGGAAGTTTAACACTCCTACCTATCTAGAAAGAGAAAACGATAAGTATCACAACTAAAGATTCCAATCATGGCTATCACTCACCTTTGTGAAACTGCATCCTATCTCATATCGATTAGTCACTTTAATCTGACAAAAGAAAAGCGATTATAATTACTTAGATACACATGATATTTTCTCAAACTAACAAGAAAAGATATCTCCAATCATAATCCAAGTGTATATATAAATATTCCTCATACTTCGATGGCTTGGCCGGACCGTAAGTGGCCAGAGTCGCCGGACCGCTTGTGAACCGTACTAGTTAGCCAAAGAAATACATTAATAAAGAAACTTAGCACTTCATTCAATGTCATCGTCGACGTTAACTTATACCGATGTATTAACATACATAGTACACGTAATTCTCCGTGCTCTGAACTCCAAACTCGAAGTCCAGCTGCATTTGCGAGGGAAAACTTGCAAAGCTAAGCAAAACCCTGCTTTAACCTACACAACTAGACAAAAAGGCCAGTCGTGAGTTAGTTTAGAATCTACAAATCAATGCAAACTTGAAATTCGCAACTTTCTCTAACTATAATTAATGCGTAATAGAATAATCTATCGCGTACGTAGTTGAGAGATCTGTGAGATTGAGCCAGCTTTCATTTTCTATTTGCTTTGTTGTTTATTATTTTTTTATGTTCTAAGGAGTAAGAACGTTTTCCAAGCCAATTGAGAAATTCTAAGACCATGAGGGTGCTGGCAGAATAAGAACCCTAGTCCGGCGCTTCAGGTGTTGACTCTCTTAAAGTAATATCAGAAAACTCTTCACTCATATGGTCAAAACACACATCCTTCCGTGCCCATATTGATCGATCATCCCTTGTATAAGGAGACCATTGGTTCGAGTCCGGGCCGTTTTCAAAGAATCATGATTCGGCTTCCGGTTTCAAAGCCAAAAAAAAGCTTTGACTAGGTAAGTTTCAGATTTTTTATCGATAATCAACCCACCTTGAAACCGATCACCTGTACGAAAAATAGTGTAATATTTAAAATTTCCTTCAGGTCCTTACTTATAAAAAGTTATAACATTTTCCACTTTTCCACCCAAAGTTTCATATTTCCATTATCTCACCTTTTTTCAAACGTAGTTTTAGTTCGCCAACACTTTGAACGAAGTCACGCTAGTTAGTCCTAAATACAGGTAGGCAATATTCAATCACATAGGCAAATTTGAGCATGTGAATGCAATACATCTCTTAAAGGAAACACGCGTAGTTCATAGCTTTTCCTAGGGGCATTAATATCCCTGGCCTTTTTGAGTATCTGAAAAGATGTTCTTTGAGGCATAGACTTGTTTCAATTGGTTGAGACTGTGATTCAAGCTTGAAACCTATCATATTAAGCGTTTCGCTACTAAATCAGTCTTTGGACGATGAATATATATTCCTTTTCTAGTAATAAGATAATTTTCTAGCTGTAAAATGAATGATTTGCAGCTCTAAATTACTCCCTTGAGCTACGCTGTTCCTGCTAAATATGGATTTGACAATCGCAACACGGCAACACGGCAACTTCTGTTTTGAGCAAATCGCTTTGAGTATTGACCCGTCAATCAAAAGCTAGGCTTATCATCTTTTCCCGCGTTGCAAGAACTATGAGTTAGACTTTGAGTCCTCTTAATATTCATCAATCTGGTATGGATTTACATTAAATGTAATTGTATCGTCGGGCAATATGTAACTTGATAATTTCTTATAATATACTACAACGATGCGTTAATTCTCTTCTAAACATACAACTTTCAGGAACATTTATCAGATCTCGAAAGGATTATGCATTGTTCTAAGGGTGAGGTTTAGCTGCTGCCGGACACGTGTCGTCCACTGAGCGCTCTTTCCATCGCCTACATGTACATTACTAGGAAATTCACACCCATCAAAATTGAAATTTACACCCATTGATCTAATACATTGAAGGGTCACTGGGTAATTATGGCATCGCGTCTTCGACAGAAAACTCTCATTCATGCATGCACATGCAGGTTGGCCATGTGCTTGTAGCTTGCTTATTTTCCACTCGCATGGACTCGAGGAAGTTCACATTAATGATTTTGAAGAAATCAATTAAGAAAACCGCGAATCCCGATATTAATCGTTCACATCGCACAGGTTTCTCAAGAACCCCCAGTTTATCATGGTCTAGAGAGCACCCGCATCTGCATCAAACAAAGTGCGCACAATCTCTATAAATATACAAAGAGAGATAGAGAGAGAGGGAGAAGACACAAGAAGATCCTGCGAGTTGGAGAGAACGCAGAATACTTCGTAGGATACTCAAATCCAGCTATGGCAATCTTGGCTCTTCGGGTCGTGGCGAGGGCGACCTTGATGAGCATGGTGGTGGCGGTGGCGGCGGCGCAGCTGCAGGTGCATTTCTATAAGGACTCGTGCCCTCAAGCCGAGCTGGTGGTGAAGAGTATAATGCAGCAGCGCTTCAACGCCGACCCGTCTCTCCCCGCGGGTTTGCTTCGTCTGCAGTTTCACGACTGCTTTGTCCGGGTAAACTCCCCCCTCTCTCTCTCTCTCTCTCTCACATTTATTTTCCTTACATTTTCTCTCTTATTTTCTTTCTATGATATCTTTTGACACTTCGTGTAGAGTTAATTTCGTTGTTATTACAATTACTGGGATGAATTTTCTCATAGTAATGCTCAAATTGCCTTCCAAAAAATTCAATCTCTAATCCAATAATAATGATATTCTCGCTCTCTTCTTATTCATCGTCCTTTCCTACCATTAGCATGGATTTCTGATTTTTTTTTTTGGGTGTAATTTCTGATTATTATTCCGCCTTATAATGTTTTTGCTTCTATAGATTATATTAAAAACTTGTTAGCTACACATATATATCAAGAAAGGGGAAAATAACAGAAGCCCCCAATTTATACTTTATACAATATGATGCCAGCAAATTTTGTCCTTTCTACTATTACCCTAAACTCTTGGGAATGCTGTCCTAGATAAAACAATTGACTAGGTACAATTCTCCCATTAAATTATGCACATACATTTCCATCTTAGCACATGGGCTTGAACATCCAACTCATCATCTAGTAAGCATCCAATGCCGTACTAAACATCTCTAGACATTTTTAACATTTTTCTAATATACTAATGTTTCATCCTTTTGTGTTACCACGATTAGGGTTGCGATGCCTCGGTCCTCATTGACAGTAGCGACAACAACGTGGCCGAGAAAGATGCACCTCCTAATTTGACCCTAAGAGGGTTCGAGGTCATCGACGTGATAAAAGCCGAGCTGGAGAAGGAATGCAAGGGAATTGTTTCTTGTGCGGATATATTGGCCCTAGCCACCCGAGACGGCGTTGCCCTAACCGGGGGGTCGGCCTACGCTCTTCCCACCGGACGAAGGGACGGGTTGGTCTCGAACATCAGCGACGTTAATATTCCCGGCCCGTCCTTCTCCGTTGCTGCGGCCACTAGTGCGTTCCAAACGATCAACCTCACCCTAGAAGATCTTGTTACTTTATTAGGTAAAGCAATGTTCACTTGCTCGAATTTTCATTCTATAGATAGGAACACGTTACCAAAAGAGATTAAACAGAAAACAAGACATGCTTATTGATGAAAAGATGATATCTATGGTCAGGGGCACATGCAATGGGATTTTGCCACTGCGGTTTCTTTGTGGACCGGCTCTACAACTTCATAGGTTCCGGTCAAGCCGACCCGGATATCGACCCGCAATTCCTTGGTGTCCTGAGGCAAAAATGTCCAAGACCCGACAACAGTGTCCCGTTCAATCTCAGTACCGACCCCATAATAGTCATGACGCCATCTTCCAGTACACCTTTCAAGCTCGACCCTTCGTTCTACAAAGGGGTCCTTCAGGAACAGGCGGTTCTTCAGCTGGATCAAGAGCTCGCGTTCACCGACCTCACACGCCGGATTGCAGCGGATTACATCAGCCGGCCCAACATGTTCCGGCGGAAATTCGCCAAGGCGATGCTCAAGCTGACGAACGTGGGTGTCTTGACTGGGCAACAGGGAGAGATTAGAGCAAACTGTAGGAGATTCAATCAACCAAATCATTGACTGAAATGTTCTATCGTTTGCAAAATGATAGTGTTGTAAATGCTTTTCTTTCAAAGACATGGAATGATGAATCATTACTGCTTATTGGTTATATAGTGTGCTGGTGTGACATCAACTTTTCATCTACTTAGTGTACTTTTTCAATCATTCCTTAATGTATAGTACAACTAAATTAATCAAGCCATAATATTAAAGCAAATAGGATAGCTGATTGGATTGTTAAAGCCCAAATCATCCATAATGTTAAACATGGCCCATATTAGTAGAGACACAAATGTGGTAGCTAATTAGATTATTAAGACCCGAAGTCCCACGGAGTGTATTCTCAAACCTCTTCTGAATTAATATAAGTGCTTTTTATGAAAAAAAAAAGTACATTATGACTATATATAGAATTTTTTTTTTCTTCACGTATCAAAATTTAACAAAATCATAGATATTAGCATAGATTAATTTACTTCATAGTATAAATGAAAGGACCCCTGATAGAAAAACATGCCGTTCTATTTCGCACGGATTTGTCAGGGAAGGCAGTTGTCTCCACGTGAACTCTCTAGAAAACTAGGAAAGTTGTGCAAGTTCCAAACTTGTCAGTACCGAAAAGGCCTTTCTACACATTCATTGGTTTCCTAAACTAGGATAGTTTTTAGGGGTTGTTTCCATCTTTTTGACTGCTTAATTTTTGCAACGAGAAAATGACACGTACTTTCGTTCACTGTGCATCAACTTTTAGTTTTTTCAATATAATTTATGATCTTTAATTTAATATTCAATGTAGTCCATAAAATTTTAATTCAAAGACAACATTAAATATTTTCATATAGTTCAAGAATTAAATTGAATATGTACCAAAAGTTCAGAGACCACATTATGGACTACATTGAACATTGACTAAAGTTCAGAGATTACATTGAATAAATTAAAAATTCATAAACCAAATTAAGTTAAGGGACTGTTTGTGTCATTATCCCTTTTGCAATTTACCACTCAAATTTTAGAAATCGATTGCAAGGTGTCCATTAACGATATTTAGTTATTTAGGGCGCGAATGATAACCATTATGTTCTTGCAAATAAATTTTGCAAGAAATAGATTTTTCTATATTTATTCCCTGAATAAGTTTTTGAGCAGAAAATAGTGTTTGATAACGGCACGAACTTTATATTCCCGAAACAGAAATTCATTTAATAATGTTGATGTAGAATTCATACATCGACCGGTGGCAGCCGGTGGGTGTGAGCGATGAAGGCAAGCTTTGAAAAGAATTGTCATTTCTTTTCCTATTCCAGAAAGAGAAGAAAGTAGAAAATTTATAGTTCTCGTTTCTATTCCAAACCTATTTATGGGCTAAACATTTGTCTCGAAAATAGAAAAATGAATTGCACTGCTCAATGGATTTTTGTTCCAAACCTGTTCCTGGGAACAAGAAAAATAGAGAAATAGAAAAACAAAATTATTATCATTCGTGCCCCTAGTTTCATCTCATTTTCTACATTTATTTTTCATACTTGCAGTCATTAAAGGAAAGGAGGGATTTTTTCTATAAAATTGTAGATACATTTTTACACCTGAAAACTCATGTGCATTGCACATGCTAGTAGAAAATAACGGATAGTTAACGGCTGTAACAAAAAATTGGAAGTCTTGTCGGAGTTTTGTGTAATTTAAGAAAAAAATACAAAGGGGTTAATGTGTAATTTACTTTAGCTCCTCGAGTGATGATTGGCAAGTTTATAATATTCTGTGCCTCAACCTGGAATTCAGTCCTCATGCCAAATTGCAATTAAAAACGAGCATAGAGGATGAGTTGGAGTAGAATTTGGACCTCCATAGCCCTGGGCAAAGCCTACTTCACGAAAGGCTTTTTGTCTGTCATGCTTTTGCCAAAAGCATCTTGTTGGTTCCCCTTTGACGAAGGAATTGCGGACGGCTTATTAAAAGACCTCACGTCTCAAAACACGGGACCGACACGTCGGAACCGAGCCGTCAAAAAACCAAGCACGCTCAATGGTAACGAGACATCACTAAAATTCCGACTAATCGGTGGTCGCAATGGTGCCTCCACTAACTAGAAGACCATGCATACATTGATTCTCAAATCGATTTGACCAATGTCGATTGTAAGATCCTTGTAGAGCGGTACCTGTGAACTACAACCCCATACCCCATATATAAGACGAAATATTCACTTGCCGGCCAATCTCACTCTTCTTTAGCAATTAAGCTTCTCAATTTCCCTCTCGCAAGCACCAATTAAGCATCGGAGAGCCAATTCGGGCACAAAACCCATACATCTTAACCCGAGTTCCGAGGTGCAGATTGATCCCTGAGTTGCCCATCAACACCCTTAATTAAAAGCCAAAACGCTATGATAAAAGCAGCAGCAACTGTCCCGATTGATTGCTGAACCAAAACACTTTCCGAACACACAAGTCTAGATTCCTAAGTGTATAAGATATCTCTAGATATTTATTAAGGCGATTATGACTTCAGAATAAGACAGTCTAGAAAACATATGTACCAGTACCTATGAATAATTTAAAGGGTCTTGTGAAAGTGGGTATTTTCAGGATGTTCTTTCAAAGCAATTATACGAATTTGTTTCCATCTTGGCATATCCAAAATGTCAAAAATGAGAAATTAAAAATATTTTTCGAGGTTCGTCGGTGGCGCTCTTTCATTTTCATTGTCCCTTTATTATTTTTATCTTGAGATTTAAGCTAGCGTTACAACATAATTTCTATTGAAATTGATGAGTTAGTCTCACAATTATTTAAAAAGATTTAATGTCTAAACAACTCACCGACTAAGCATCACGACAACTTTAATTTTAGGCGTATTCAGAAATTTGTTGATTGATTTGGAGAATTGATCGGCTGAAATGGCAATCTTAGAAAGTTTTCATTGAGTGCTCCAAGTCCGCAAGGGCATATGATTACTTTAATCACCGGTTTTGCAAGTAATGTGTGTCCTCATTCCCAGTCGCTCTCAATCATCCCCATCTCGACAAGAAACAGATCATTCCTCTCCCGAACACTCCTCGTGGCACTTCTTAATTATTTTTATAATTCATGATGTATGACCATCGCTACAAGATTAATGGAGTTTCTAGTGATACTGATAGCTCCGCGAACATTAGCTTCCCTAGAGACCCATCTTCTTCATTTTAAAATTATTAGTTGCTCGTGATATGTACATTGCACACATTAAGCACATTTCGTCCACACACTTGGAAGTCCAGTTGGTGGGATGCTTTCACATTCCGGATGTACCTTTCGTAATGTGATTGCCCAATATCAATACTAATAATACTAAGCATCGATGTGGAAAACGAGGGAAAAATTGTTAAAAAAATTTAAAACTTATTATACGGCGGCAAATTCAATTATAAACTTTTCAATTTGGTCAATTTAGTCATAAATTTTTTTTACGATTTGCCAGTTTAGTCCCTCCGATTAATATTGGCCGAAAATTGTTAACGTGGTGATCCAGTCACCGCTAGCCGTCCTTTGCGACATGGTTAGTGCTGATGTGGACGATTTTTGCAACTTTTTTAATTTTCTAAATTTTTTATTTTGTTTTCCTTTTTTCCTTTCTATTCTTTTTTTTTTATTTTTTTCCCTCTTTCCTCCACTGGTCGCCAGAGCCTCACGATGGCCAATAGAGGGAAGTAGGAAAAGAAAACGGCAAAAAAAAAAGAAAAGAAAAGGAAAAAGGAAAACATTTTGAAAAAATAAAAAAAATAATTCACATCAGTGCCGATTGTGCCACCTAGGACGATCGGCATCCACGTCAGCGATTTTTTATCAAAATTGAATTGAATGATGAAATTGATAGATTGTCAAAATATTTAAGACTAAATTGGCCAAATTGAAAAGTTTATAACTAAATTCGCTGTTGTACAATATATTTAGGATTTTTTTAACAATAATCCCAAAAAATGAATGCCTAGACAAGAAACCAATATCCAATATGAATAACATGAATGCCCAAAGATGTAGATACATGAGCCCGTATCATAATTGAATAAAATGAACTAGACTAAATTCATCAGATAAAATCCTTTAAAAAAGAAAGGGTTAATACCACGAAAAACCCTAAACTGGTACACTTATGACACATTTACCCCAAACTATTTTTTTGACCATAAAAAACCCCAAACTGGTACACCTGTGACAATTTTACCCCGAACTATTTTTTTGACCATCAAAAACCCCAAACTGGTACATCTGTGACAATTTTACCCTGAACTGACCAAAAAAAACCCCAAACTGGTACATATATGATAATTTACCATGAATTAAAATTTTAATATTATTTTTTATTTTTTTCAAATATTTTTTTTTTCCTTTTATTTTTTTTTCTTTATCTTCAACCTCTGGCCGGTCGCTGGTCCGGCGACCGGCCAGAGGCGGAAGCCGGGCGAGGGCCGCCCTTGCGGCGCCGGGCGAGGGCCGCCCTCGCCGACGCCGGCGAGGGCCGCCCTCGCCGGCGTCGGGTGAAGGTCTGTCCTCGCCCGCCCAGCAAGGGCGAGGGCCGCCTCGCCCGCCTTTGGGCGAGGCGGCCCTCGCCTAGGCGGGCGAGGATGGCCCTCGCTCGAGTCGGGCGAGGGCGGCCCTCGCCGGCGCCGGGCGAGGACGGCCCGCCCGACGCCGGCGAGGGCCGCCCTCGCTAGATCCGGGCGAGGGTCGCCCTTGCCGAGTCGAGCAAGGGCGGCCCTCGCCAGCGGCTGCCGAGGGCGACCCTCGCCGGACCGGCGACCGGCCAGAGGTTGAAGTGAAGAAAAAAAAAAGAAAAGAAAAGAAAAGAAAAAAGAAAAAATTCAAAAAAATTCAAAAAAATAAAAAATTATATTAAAAATTAATTGGGGTAAAATTGTCACATGTGTACTAGTTTGGGATTTTTTGCGGTATGTTCGGGGTAAAATTGTCACATGTGTACCAGTTTGGGGTTTTTTGTGGTATGTTCGGGGTAAAATTATCACATGTGTACCAGTTTGGGGTTTTTTATGGTCAAAAAAATAGTTTGGGGTAAATGTGTCACAAGTGTACCAGTTTATGGTTTTTCGTGGTATTAACCCAAAAAGAAATGGA